TGTACACGTTTACTTTCTAATTGTTAATTTACGTGAAAGTTGCACTACACTAAGGAGGTAAATAAATAGGACTACCATACGATTTGTTGTGGGATTACGGGAATACGCCTCGTTTTAAAAAATATTATTTCAAAAATCTACGCCTTGGGAAGTAGTTGAAAAAATATTCTTTCAAAAATCTACGCCTTGGGAAGTAGTTGAAAAAATATTCTTTCAAAAATCTACGCCTTGGGAAGTAGTTGAAAAAATATTCTTTCAAAAATCTACGCCTTGGGAAGTAGTTGAAAAAATATTCTTTCAAAAATCTACGCCTTGGGAAGTAGTTGAAAAAATATTCCTTAAAAAATCTACGCCTTGGGAAGTCGTTAAAAAAATATTCCTTAAAAAATCTACGCCTTGGGAAGTCGTTAAAAAATATTCGTTAAAAAGTCTACGCCTTGGGAAGTCGTTGAAAAAATATTCCTTCACAAATGTACGCCTTCGGAAGTCGTTGAAAAAATATTCCTTCAAAAATCTACGACTTGGGAATCCGTTGAAAAAATAATCTTTCAAAAATCTACGCCTTGGGAATCCGATGAAAACATATTCTTTCAAAAATCTACGCCTTGAAAATCCGTTAAAAAAATATTCTTTCAAAAATCTACGCCTTGGGATTTCGTTGACAAAATATTCTTTCAAAAATCTACGCCTTGTGATTTCGTTGAAAAAATATTCTTTCAAAAATCTACTCCGTGGGAAGTTGTTGAAAAAAGATTCTTTCAAAAATCCACGCCTTTGGAAGTCATTGAAAAATATTCTTTAAAAACTCCACGCCTTGGGAAGTTGTTGAAAAAATATTCTTTAAAAAATCCACGCCTTTGGAAGTCGTTGAAAATATATTCTTTAAAAACCTCACTGGAGCTTTTTAAAAGATATTTTTGAATAAAATATACACACTGTGGATCCTTTAAAAATATTAAAAAGACTAGGACTTCTTTAAAATAGATTCCTTTCTACACACTAAAAAATCAAGTCTAAAATTAGTAGGTAGGACATCAAATCATGTTCCTTAATCGGATTTTCTTATATTTAAATGTACCTATTCAAATGCTGAACACTGTCTACAACTCATATGTTCTAACATTGTGCTATGTCTCCATTTGCTGTTGTCTATTTCATAGAATATGCTAAACAGACGAGCTTTCTCTGAAGTATTGTATGACGTGCCAAGAACATCGAAACTCAAGGAGGACGCTAGACAAATTGAATTCGTTCGCATAGGCCAAGCACTTAAATTGGAGGCCATTGTACGTGGTGATGCCCCCACAAGCATTGCCTCAGCAAGTCCTTGTACGATATTCAAGAAGCCACCTTGGGAGCCGCATTGTTTCTATCCGACATTTCCACACCGGGGTACATTGGCAGGCGATTCATTTGGTAATGCTGATGACTCGTTATTTATAGCAACGGATGATGGAACATTTTTGATGAAAGGTAAGTAAGGCAATGCAAACACGACCAACCTACCGCAAAGGGTACGAAAGAAGAAGGAACAACCAATCAAAAAAATTAATGACCCACCAAAGGATATGTCTTGTGGATACGGAAAATAACTAATTCATTTAATTTAATATGCTTTTTTCTCTTATCCTTATCATGACAGAGGATCAATCACTGCAGTTGGTCTTCGACAAGACATTACATGTCCGCCAATTAAATGTCCTGGAAGAACACGGCCTGGTGTTGGTGCGTGGCGGCTCTGCCACAAATCGTGATGGCCATCGTATACATGTATTTCGTTTGCGAGAATTCCATTTGAAATCTTCCGAAGAAACTCTGAAGTGTCGTTCTCGTTCTGAGGTAAAGGAGCGACGCATCGATAGAACACGTGGCTGTCATTTGTTTTCCTCTTCGCGTGTAAATGGTGGTCATTTGCGATTAGTGGTGGCCGTTGGACGTAAACTGCAATTATTTCAATGGAAACATACAGCGGCGTGGGCCTCATGGTGTCCGGAAAATGATACAGAAACGGCGGAGGGTTTTATATTTCAAAAGGAAATCTCGCTAAATGATACACCCACAATTGTGACGCCCCTGGAGGGTCCAACCAATACGAAAACTGGTGGTCTAATTTGTGTGGGATATAAGTAAGTTGAAATATATTTACTTTTTTCGAAATTTGAATATTAATTTGAATTTTTGGTAATTTCTCCTTAGATATCATTATGAAATTGTCTGTGATCAAAGTGGAGTTGCCACCCGTCTGCATGAAGTTGAACCGGCCAAAAGAAGTCAGACTCAATTAACAGCCGCCATAGAATTGTGTGATGGCATGGAAACTGAGCTTCTATTATGTTATAATCGTAAGTACAAAACCTTTTCCCAATGTAATTCAAGGTATTTCAGGGGCTTTATTTGTAATTCAAATTGGCAGTCGTTGAAAAAATATTCTTAAAGAAACCCACGCCTTGTTTAGGGTTTGAAAAAATATTCATTAAGAAATCCACGCCTTGTTTAGGGCTTGAAAAAATATTCTTTAATTAATCCACGCCTCAGTTGGCCCTTGAAAAATATTCTTTAATTAATCCACGCCTCTGTTGGCCCTTGAAAAATATTCTTTAATTAATCCACGCCTCAGTTGGCCCTTGAAAAATATTCTTTAATTAATCCACGCCTCAGTTGGCCCTTGAAAAATATTCTTTAATTAATCCACGCCTCTGTTGGCCCTTGAAAAATATTCTTTAATTAATCCACGCCTCAGTTGGCCCTTGAAAAATATTCTTTAATAAATCCACGCCTCAGTTGGCCCTTGAAAAATATTCTTTAAGAAATCCACGCCTCAGTTGGCCTTGAAAAAATATTCTTTAATTAATCCACGCCTTGGATGGTCCTTGAAAAAATATTCTTTAATTAATCCACGCCTTGGATAGGCCTTGAAAAAATATTCTTTAATTAAAAAATATTCTTTCAAAATCCACGCCTTGTCTAGGGCTTGAAGAAATATTCTTTAAGAAATCAACGCCTTGTTTAGGGCTTGAACAAATATTCATTAAGAAATACACGCCTCGTTTTCGGCGCCTTGGTTGGTCGTAGAAAAAAATTTTTCTTTAAAAATTGGCCCCAATTTTTTTTTAAATTCACGCATTTACTCTCAACTGAATTTACACACATGGATCCTCACCTCGACATTCTTTGACAATATTCTTTTTTCCTCTTGCAGATACATGCCACTTCCAAAAGTTAAATGAACGCGATGAATCCCGCAATGAATTCGATTTCCATTGGAATACCTCACCCACATCGGTGGTATGTGCATTCCCCTATATACTCGGCTTTACGGCAGACTCCATGGAAATACGTCTTCTGGTCAATGGCAATTTAGTGCATACCGCGATTTTACCAGAACTGCAAATGATAACGTCCAAACGCGATATTTTCTTTGTTACAACAGCACCCGAATTTATGTCTAAAGATTTGAATATTAAGGGACTACAAATCCACGAACAGACTCCAGAACGAAGATTGGTAACCACACCCAGTGAATGCTCGTCAAATGAAGAGCTAACAACACGAGATTCTGCAGAAGTCCTCAGCCTAACAAGTGTCAAAGATAGCATACCCCTTAATCCAGAACATGAAATGAATAATTTACTTGAAATACCAAATATGTTGTCGGCCTCAAATGCAGGACAACCCATGCAGAGGGCACGATCTCTGCAAAAAGCAAGTCACATTGACGATAAGCCGGTCATTGCGAAGAGCAATTCTTGTGGCGATGCCTATGGCAGCAGTGATCACAAATATAACCCGTTGCGCAACAACTCCATTGTCGATCCTCAATATCAAATCGGTGTACCACCCAATTCACCACGCACAAATTCGAATAACAACAACAGCAGCAACACCAATAACCACAACAACAATAACAACCTACCCAAGACACCAGCCGCACAACATTCACCAATGTCGCCGACAAAACGGAATTCCAAATATCGCAACCTTTTCTCATCGTCGAATGGTGGCGGCAGTCAAACTCCTGAACATTATTCAAGTTCTCCAGATCGTCTCAAACCTCTACGAGTCTATCGTATACCCTTAGCCAAACTGGCTGGAGCACACTCCCATTTCCACATGCAATCTTTTAATGCCACCGCCTCAGCTAAACTTCAACAGCAACAACACAACCACCACCAACACTCTTCACATTTTCAACAACAAAACTATATTCGGGATCATCACGCGCTATCGCATAAATCACGACAAAAATCATTTGATATTCAATTACCGCTACAGGCAACCGATATTCCAGAATGACAATTGTCTGATCAGGCACCGAAGGACCAAATCAACACGGAGAATGTTATTGACAGCGACAAAGAGTGTCAAAGCTTCAATAGGTCACAAATACCGCCAACAACAATGGAATTTATGGAGAAACGCAAGTCCATAGATCTCTATGACTATGATGACAATAAATTTAATGAGGAGGACGAGAGACGTTTTGAAATGTTAATGTTGCAACGTTAATAGGCTGTGCGGGGGAATGTTAAAATAAGAGAATATTTTGTAAAAGGGAAGCTCAATACATGGGAAATATTCTTTGCAATATGTATAGCATCTATTATGCTTATGTCTTATTGGATATACGGTTTCAAAATTTTGAATACACAACATAATACATAATTATAGCAATCAAATACTGAAAATAAATTATTTTTGGTCATAACTCGAAATTGAAATATTTGTTTATCTGTTTGTTATTTTCCTATGTTTTATTAATTGTTGCCTATAGTTTAGGCCTAAATTTTCTAAGATGTTTTAGATATTACTTTGTTAAGACTTTTATAAGTGTTTTTATTATTGTGCTATATACCACTTGGCGCACTCGTTCAAGCTAATTGGAAAAAGTATTTGAATAAATGAAGCTTAAAGGTTGTTAGCATCAAAACCATATAAATTCCGGAAAGAAATTAAATTGTTCCCAATCTAGGATCTCAAAAGCTAAAAAAATTAATAATATTTACGAACTTCTTACATTATACGAATAGTGTTCTGTATTTCATAAATGCAATTCATAAAACTGTAAAGACTGGTTTCATGTAGGAGATTTATTTTTTTTCTTCTTCGTTATGTCTTGTCTCGTTTCATCATATAAAGTTGAGCCTACGTTTGTGGTTCGCATATACCAAAACCAAAATAATTTGGAAAATACATATGCGAATTTTGTAACACCAATGCAGAATACAAAACTGGACACAATCGAGTAAGTGAAAAGGCGGCGATTGTTAGCAGCAGAAACAGTAATCAAATAAAGGTTTGCAAAAGTATACATGGTGGAGAGAGGCCGAGAGCGGTAGCAAAACAAAACACAACTGAACAATGAATGGAAGTGTGGTTTTCGAAAAAAGAGGAGAAATGAACGCAAATAGTTATTAAGTAGAGCGAAGTAAGAAAATAGTTGTGATAGAGTAACTTCGGGTAATGTGGACCACCATTTTCTTTTTTTGATATTGTGGTCGTAACAACGGTAAAAAAATAAAACAAATTGGTTTCACAACATAGTAGAGTTGTATTCCAGATCAAACATTACATATATTTGTCTATACAAATATTATTGCATTATATTTAAAAAAAAAATTTAAACTGCGAATAAAAATAAATTGGCGGGTAATAAGGATCAGTAAGTTAAAGGTAGATTGTGGATTGTTTGCGATTTATTGCACTCTTGGTAACAATGAATACAAAAATATATGTGTTCATGTTTTGGTATAGCCCCCATTTAAGGGTACCGCCCCATTTGCGATATTTTGAAGCTCCTTGCTCCAGCCGGAGCACTTGTAATTTCGAATATCGAGTTTTTAGAGGATAGAATACCTCCTCCCATACTAAATCGGCCCATGTTTCGGACTCGTCCTCATGAAAAGGTCCCACTTTTTTATAGCGGTCCACATTACCCGACATTGAATATTTTTATTTAAGGGTAATTAAAGAAAAGTCCTTATTTTTGATGGCGGACATGATAACTCCTCACTGGAACATCGGAATCCGAAAATTCCAACGGTGTTAGAAAGAGTACATGTATGGCTCTCGTATGAACTAGGATTATTGCTCTAAAATTAACAAAATGGTGGACATTTGAAAAAATATTTTTGGAAAATCGCCGATTTTTTACCAAAAACCAAGTTAAAAAATAAGGAAGATCTTCACCGATCGGCTTTATCCTAGTTCATACGAGAGCTATACACTCCCAGAGAAACGTTGCAAAATTTGGAACCGATTGGATTATTAGTTTTTGAGTTATCGTGCCCGCCATTCGCAAAAAAATGTTTAGAGAAAAACGCGTTTAAAAGTTGAGAAGCCCTTCAGCCGTCACTTGATGCTGACACAATAAATCGGCTATATCTTCAAGAGTTCTTGAGATTTTCACTTTAAATTTTGTAGAGACATTCTTTAATCAGTGTAGATTCGAACTATATCAACAAAAGTTTTGACCCCGAGAATGGGGGGTCCCCTTAAAAATAACACTGTGCGACACGAAAATTTTTCAATGGTTCTAATGTACCAAATATGTTTAGTTGGAGTCCCTGGACCACGAAAATACCTTTGGTTTTTCTGGGTCACTTCGAAAATTTATTTTATAACGGTAAATATAGAGAAAAACGTGGTTTCATGGATTTTCAATTTAAAACTCGAATAACTTATTTACTTTTTAACAGATTTTTATTATTCTTTTTTTTCTTTCGAAGAGTACAATTTTTCCTTTCAAACAAGATATATACTTGGTAAATCGGTTGAGGATTGGCTGAGTTACAGCGGATTGGCTGAGTTACAGCGGTTGAAATGTGAAAAAATACGTATAAAATGACAAAATTTACCTTTCTTCGGGCTGTACGATGAAATTATGATATCAAGCCAGACAAGTTTTATTCTATTACGGGGAAGAAAATTAAATTAGCTTTCGAAAATGATAAAAATCAAAAAAATCGGTTAAAAAATGTATGACTTATACACATTTTTGTATTGATTCTATGCATATTCTCTAAAGGAAATATGGGTCTATCTCGTTTCCTTTTGCCTGTTGCAAACATAACGGTTTATAACAGGAAAAGATACAGACCCATATTTCCTTTAGAGAATATGCATAGAATCAATACAAAAATGTGTATAAGTCATACATTTTTTAACCGATTTTTTTGATTTTTATCATTTTCGAAAGCTAATTTAATTTTCTTCCCCGTAATAGAATAAAACTTATATGGCTTGATATCATAATTTCATCGTACAGCCCGAAGAAAGGTAAATTTTGTCATTTTATACGTATTTTTTCACATTTCAACCGCTGTAACTCAGCCAATCCTCAACCGATTTACCAAGTATATATCTTGTTTGAAAGGAAAAATTGTACTCTTCGAAAGAAAAAAAGAATAATATAAATCTGTTAAAAAGTAAATAAGTTATTCGAGTTTTAAATTGAAAATCCATGAAACCACGTTTTTCTCTATATTTACCGTTATAAAATAACTTTTCGAAGTGACCCAGAAAAACCAAAGGTATTTTCGTGGTCCAGAGACTCCAAATAAACAGAATTGGTACATTAGAACCCTTGAAAAAAAATTTTTGTTATTTTGTAGCACAGTGTAATTATCGGCTTCAAAAATGAATAAAAATTTAAAAATCACCGATTGAAATTACAGCTAAATGTATATTTTTGTTAAAGAAAACCAGAAAACCACATAACTTCTTTATATTCGAGAGAAACAATGTGATCGCTATTTGGAAAAACTTTCGACTATTGTGCTAAAAAATGTTCATATCAAACTTTTACAATCAGAGCTAAATTTTCTACTACTACATTTTCAACATTGCAATTATTTATTAAAAACCAAATTTGATGTTTGTTTTCACTTATTAGGAAAACAATTATCAAGGCTGCATTGAAATATTTCAAGCATTTTCTTAGATATGGGGGTGGTCCACATTAGACACATAGTCCACATTACCCGAAGTTACTCCAATAATGAAATATTACATTTTTTTGGAAAAAAATGTGGAGTTATCATAAGAATTTGTAATTGTATTCTAAGCGAGATTCATGTACAATACGAAAAAATACGAATGAAAATATTAAGTAAACATTTTTTCTGTGTATCCTGTGCATCGTTCTTAGTTTTCCTCTACTCATACCAACTGATTTCAGTATTAATTTGGTGCTGGTGTACATCGCTTTTCCAGACGGGCATCGACAAAAACCCCCACGCGTGCTAGCAATGACTGTTGTAAACAAACCGAGTGATTTTAAAATGGACTTTTGAAAATTCATACTAAAATTGCATGAAAAGTACTAATATATAAATTTTGAATATTTGTTATGGTATGGGTTGCAAAGGATGCGGATTAGAAATGTGTACGAAGTAGTACTGTATTGGTTAAAATTGCATTTGGTATTAACAAGGATATCATTTGATGAGTTTTTTCGTTAAAGTTTGGATCATAAAATTTTTATACTCTCTCTCAAGATCTCTCTTCAGAAAATCAATGGAATATTTTTGTAAAAAGGAAAGATTATCCATCTCAGACTTGGAGGTTACTTAATTAATTAAAACATATCATGGCAAATATAGCGAGGATTAGAAAGTTCCGTTTGAGAGGAGGAGAAAGTTCCGTTTGGGAGAACCCGCTTCAGTTTTTAACTAAATTCAATAAGTTACAAATCTTACTGTTAAAAATGATCAACATCTGTCCATTTTTAGGTATAATCCCCATATAGCATTGCATCTATATATAGGCCCAAGTTTTGATATAACTCCACACAGTGATATAAAGCCATAAAATAATTAGGAGCAACCTGGACTTTTCGTAAAGTCGAGTTAAATAAGAATTTTATTCAGTATTTTATATTGCAATCCGACTTTGTTATATCTTTAAACAGCCACAAAATAAAGGCCAGAAATTATAACATGGAAGGCAATATTTTATATATTTCTGATGTGTGTTCTGAAAATCTGATGAATAATAAATCTGTAATATATTAATACGTAAAGTATATCAAATATTTTATTATAATAAAAATAACAAAAATAAATCAACAATAGTGAATTTAACTGCATATAGCGATGTTAAAGTATAGAAAGTTACTTTTCACGGTCTTCAGGTATGGTAGGCATTCTGAAACGTCTTGGTCCGATGGTGGAATAATAAAAATTATATAGGCCAAAAGAGTGAAATTTTCTAGACCCATGATATGGGTCCGATCTATCTAATTTCTTGTCAATTGCTTTATAGGCCTATGTGGTTTTTATTTTCTAAATTTGTCT